ATACATTCATCGATGCCATATGCATATCAATGGTTGATGACTTTACGCATCTCGATTGAGCAAGAGGTTGTGCTGCTTTGACGATATTACATACTTCCCTCGGAGAGGCGAATGTCTTTAAGGCAAGACCACTTGTCAGTTATATGAGTATATTTCATGTATGAATATTTGTTATGTTTTATTTATTTATTTCTTATTTATCTCAGACATTCCATATATGTAATTTGTGTTTATTGTACAATGTTAGATATACGAGAATTTCTCGTCCATTTGTGACAGGCTTGATCATGGTCTTGTCACAAATTACTCCCCACAAGCCATTATATGGAGATCCAAACATTCTCATTCAGACGGTATTCTGAAGTACATGAGGAGCAATGCTTCTCTAGTTGTCGACAATGTCATATGGAGAGCATGTTAGGCATGATCCGTTAATATAACTTGTCTATTCTGTGTACATTATATGTTATGGCGTGCCAGAAGAAGCCAAAAAGTGATCTTGTGGTGTATTTCAATAAAATCATAAACATATATAGTAAAGCAAGGGGGAAATTCTCTACGCCTCACTTGTAACTTTAATACATGTCAGGTTTCATTCCGAATATCCTCTATGATTATATATCTTTATATCTAAATTATCTAATATAATGAATATCTCTATTCTACTATTTTCGATCAGTGTTATCATGAAATCCACTTGTTGTTGGATATCTCACAACGACAAGCTTGTATTTTTTTCCTAAGTTGATCATTCAATGAAGTAGATTTATCAAAGTTTAACATGTGATAAAATAAAGTACTAACAACACATCATTTAACACAAACAACTATTTCATATTAACTTCACATTGCTCAACATAAAATGGTTTAACTCATTATGAGCTTAGTACATACATCAATACTGGATCCTAAGCTAAACATTCTTAAACACACAATGAAAAAAAATGAAAATCTTAGAGTAACTTCTTCGTCTTTTTGCAATCTCCAATCAACAAGAGACAATCTTTATCACGCAAGATACTGGTAGCATACACTTGAGATGATGAGAAGAAGTAGTTCCTCACTTTGTTCAACTCACTGTCTTCACTAATTTTCACCAAGTGTTTCCTTCTCAAAATTGTTGAACTCTTTTGCATTTTCTCCAAGAAGTCCTTTTATAGTCACTTTCATCTAGGGTTTTTGTGTTGTCATGGATCATGGGATTTTGGATATTCGTGAATTCTAGCCCAAAGGAATCAACCAGTTTCCCTTTAATTCTTCCTTTTCGTACCATTTCAGAGCCAAGTACAATCAACACATGGGAGACAAAGTGTCTGGTGGCAAGATAGTGGCGCATGTATTCAGGCGACGATGTCTTGCAACCATCTTTTGCAGTAGGTAGACAAATTGGGTGTTGTAATGGGTGTACTATCGTACAAAATTTAGTCCTCTAGTGCCTTGTTCGTATCTCTTTGCTATTTGATTCAAATACACTTCATTTTGCAGATTAATGTCATGTAAGCCCTAAATCCATAGATGTGAAGTGGTTCTATAAGCTTAAGCTTAGACTAAATGGTGATATATCCAAGTACAAGGCAATGTTTGTTGCAAAAGGATTCGTTCAAAGATCTATAATTAACTTTAATGAGGCATATGAACCAATTTCGAAGCTTGAAACAATAGGAATAGTGGTTGCAGTTGTAGTTGATAAAAGATTGATGTTTGATGTAAAGTATACATTTCTTAATGAACCGCTAGAGGATGATGTATATGTCAAGCCACCATCATGCTTTGAGATCAAAGGGCAAGAAGAAAATATACAAATTGAGAAGGTTATGTATGGATTGATACATGGACCTAGAGCTTAGAAAAAAAGAATCGGCAAATTTCTCATCAATCTAGAATTCAACAAATGCACATCATAACATGGAGTATATGTAAGGGGTACAATGAGAAGGACCAAGGCATATCATACCTATATGTATATAATTTATTGGTCACAAGATCAAATGAAATTTAACTGACAAAATTCAAAGTTAGCATGAAGAATAAGTTTAATATGTATGAACTAGAGAACTTGACTTATTAGGAATGAAGTTTGTAAATACAAACTGTGGAGTTTTCTTGCATAAGAAAAAAATTCATAAGACATTTTTTAAAAAAATTCAAAATGAGCAATTGCAAACCTGCAATCACTTCTTTAAAAACATAAACTAAACTCAAAAAGTAAACAAATTATAAATTTGTAAATAAAAATATATACAAGCAAATCTTTGACACAGTAAGGTATCTATATAACACAATACCATAGATTTTTTAGAGTTTTAACTTGGTAAGCAAGTTCATTGAAAATCCTAAAACATGTCACCTACTTGCACCCAAAAGAGTTCTTAGATACATCAGAGGTATTTAAGATCACGATGTTTTCGTGCTAAACAAAAAGAACACTAGTAAAAGGAGGAGACCAAGATGACCAAAAAGTACAACAAGATACTTTCATAATTGGAGCAGCTCCAATCTCATGGAGTTGAAGAAGCAAGGGTTAGGGGGGCCTATCATCCTGTGAAGTAGAGCATGTAGAAGCCTCATATGCATCCTGTCAAGCACTTCGGATAGAAATGTTATTGGAAGAGTTAAAGATCATTAAAACGATACATATTAAACTATTTGTTGATAATAAATCAACAACCAAATTGACTAATCATCTAATGAGTCACGGTAGGGGTAAACACATTAAAAGAAAAATACCACTTTTTGAGAGACCAAATGAACAAGAACAAATTACAAGTCGAGTATATCAAAGTCAAATCGCCACCAAATCATTGAAAAAAGCAAGATTTAACTGCGTAAATGAGATGAGAGGAATTAAAAAATTAGTTGATTTGAATTACTATGAGTATTGTGAATGTGATTCATAAAAAGATAATAGGTTACTTTAGTTGCAAGTATGTGACTTGCAACACAAGTCAACTAAAATAGTTTTTTTATTGTTAGCTTCCTCAGTGTGTATATAAAGGCCACTAATGCAACTCGACTAGCATTAATTCAATTAAAATCACTTCTCACCCAATTCGGTTTATATTTTCTTAATGTGTTCATATATCTTCATTTCCTTGCATTACAAGTTATCTCCAAAATTTATCACCGTTTGTATATTTAGATTTACTCTTTTCGGTAGTAATTATTTATACTTTTTAATTATATTTTAAAGGATAAATTTGTAGCCTTAATTCTTAAATATGTTCTTTTTATATTCAATTTCCTTTTCCGCTATTTCATCCAAAGATAAATCACTTTTAAACTCAATTTACTTTACACTTAATTCTTTAACGTTATTGAATAAAACAAACAATATTTTCAATATTCTTTCACTAGCAAGCCCAATATTTTTGGCAGCTGATTTACTTACAGAAGAAACATTCATATGTTTAATGCCCCACATTACAATTCAAATGCTTTCCCAGTGACAAGAGCATGGTTGACATTGTTGGGGAATATACTTTGCATCTTAAATTGAAAATGAAGGTGATTTGGTTTGCACCAATTGAGAAACCATAAATTTGATACAAAATTTATACACAATAGAATTATATATATACAATTCTTATTAATAGAATCGATTTTTTAATTTGAGTATATGATCTAAACGAGTCGCACATACACCCTATGACATGTTCCTCGGCGTTGAGGGCATCCCCGAAGAGCGAGAGATTTTGTTACAGTCCGGATTGGCTGTCTTGCGTTTCTAATAAGTTGTTTATAGTTGGCATGGTGAATCATATACATAATGAGCTGGTTTCGATCAATCCTAACCCAATAATTTCCATTTAGAATTTATTCGACTCTATGAAATCTGGTTGTTAAGACGATTAAAAAGAGAAAAGACAACATCTCATGCATGTATTTATTAGGAATAAATCTGTGTTTATTAGGGACAAAGGTTTAGGAATAAATCCACTATTCCCAGAAGAAAAAAAATAGTGGGGACAGAAATAGTTTGAAAGCAAATTTTGTGTTTAGTAGGAATAAAAAGGATAGAAATAGTCCAAACATCAATATTGATTCCAACTATCAATATTGACATATGCAAATTTTGCATTTAAAAAAAAGAATCTGCTCCGGAATCAAAAATTGCTTCCGTAGGCAAAGAATCTGATACGGAATCAATAATTCCGTAGGCTTGGGCTTCTTCGGGTGACATAAAATGATCCCTTTCCAGGTCTTTAGATATCTGCCATACCGGTTTGCGTGTTCTTTGCGAATAAATAGCTGTTATTGTTTCTCGAAGTATCACCATTTCATCTGCTTCTAGCATACATTCTCCTGATGGTCCCTCATAAGGGGCACTATGAGGTTGATGGATCATTACCCTGATAGTATAATATAATTTGGTTTTTTCTCTCAATCTTGACTTAAAAAAATAAGAAAGAAGGGATATTCAAAAGAACTTCAATTTAAATTGAAAGCCGTACAGGCAAGCATCTTTTGGATTTTTTATATAGCATACGGCTCTATACTTTTAACTTTTCATTTTTTTTACCTTTCATTGAAGAAATAAAAAATATATATATATATATATATATACCGGGTCTATCAGACCCAGATCAGTAAAGAATCCAAGAAAGATATATTGTAGCTCTTGATGATAATTGATTCATAAGGTACATCTCAATCAATAATCTACTAAAGAGGAATAGAAAAACAAAACAAAAGAGTGTCTTTTTTTCTTTTTTTAGAAGTTAACTGCAACAATTTCATGTACATGACTTGAATGTTTACATTAAATTGCAAATCATACAGAGAGAAGAAGAAAAAAATATCTCCATATTCATAATATTTCTTAAGCTAACTGCATCAACCTCATGCACATCACTTTATGTATATACTTTGAACAACAAGTATTTGTTCTTATTGATGTTGCTCATGATTTTTAGGCTGCACAAGTTTTGCTAAAACAATAACCAATGCTTGCTGGTTTCTTTTTGTTAGTATATTCTTTCAAACTGCACATTGAAGTCAAGTCATGTAGAAGGGACAACCGATAGCTCCAAGCGGCCGGTCCATTCTTCTCCTGGTTTTAAGGTTATTGGATTTTCAACTGCTGCGCCATCCACGCAGAGCATGTGTTTGTACTCTTCATCCCCGAAATCGACTATTGCCTTGGACTTTTTCTCCCAAGGATTCCAAACAACTATGCAATGTCAAAATTGACATAAATGGTTATGTTGTTTGTATAATGCCATAGTACTTAGATTATGAGTTAAAAGTTTTGTTAGTTGTTGCCAACAATGGACACTTACCAACATCTGGAAGACCTTCCTTTCGTATCACGAATGTTCGTTTCTTTTCATGATCTAGAACCGCTACCATATTGCAGGAATCAAGATAAACTCGATCCACCTAACGCATAGAAGAAAATAAGTCCTTAGCACGTTGATAAAATTTCAAGACTTGCAATAATTCAACTTGATACATATAAGGATTGACTTGAATGAAAATCATCATCAATTTCCTTACCTCAGATTCAAAGGTCAAAGCAGTTCCTTGATCTGTAAATCGTTCCTTCTGGTGTAAGTTATCGAGGTAGTCAAGAGTTTCCAACCCTTCTAATCTCACTTCACTGTCAATAATCAGCATAGGTTAAGGTTAACTTATATGCTAACTCAATGATTTGCAGCGCAATAAATTTTTGGGAAAGGATGGGGTGGAACACATACCTGATATCAGAGATGGACAAGTATGTATGAAATGCAAAGGAGAAACTGAAAGGCTTGCCATTGATATTTCTGATGCGAGATATCAGCAACAGATGGCCGTCTACTGTCAAACAGACCTTTAGGCGAAACTCGAAGCTGAATAAAATAATTTAGAACAACAAGCAGTTAATAAAATAATTTTCATCCAACAATCTCAAAATACACAAATGTTCATATGACAATAATATTGATTTGGAAGTATATAAGATAAAGGGGCTATGTACCTATGTGGCCATGTCTTCGTATCGTCTTCGGATGATTTGAGCAACAAGTCAATGCAAACTTTTTCATTGGAATCTGCAGAAAGCGGCGGAGGATTTTGATCAATAACCCATATCTTTTTCCTAGCAAATCCATGTTGCTCTAGTGTTCCACTGTTTCCAAACTACAAAAATCCCTCCAACCTTAGTCATCTATATATCTATCAAGAAATTACCTGTGGAAAACAGATTGGAATTAAAATTACCTGTGGAAAACAGATTGGAATTCCTGCACGGACTGGTTTGGGAGGACTAAAGATTGCCTGATAAAAATTGTTACATTTTACTAACAAGAAATTGAGAAATCAAATTAGTGAAACAGATTAAAAATCTTGATCTACCTTTGTACTAGAGAACAATAACTCTTCGCCGCGATCAGTTTTCCATGAAAGAACTTGCCCTCCATGCAAGCTAACCTGAAAGAGTCACACACACAAGACACACGCTAGCATCAATCAAATTCAAAATTTCAAATTGAAAGAGTTAAGAAAATGTAACCGTTGCTGAAGCTCCTCGAGGGTTTCGAAGAACAACACGGTCTATTCCATTTTTGTCCTTGGTAACTTCAACTAATTTTCTGTTATGATCACTTTCACCTCCAGAATGACTCATCTTTCCCAAAACCTACTTTGAGAGTAAAAATTCAAAGAAACAAGAAAGAGAAAACAGTTTCTTTATTAATTCTTTTTCCCTTTCTTTGTGTAATTGTGGAAACTTTATGAGACTTTATAAAAAACAAACTTTGACGTGACGAAATCGGTTGAGCGGATGAAAGAAAAATCACGAGGTTCCCGTGAAAACTTTCTTGTGAGAAACCGAGTTGTTTTTCAGTTATTATTGAAAATTGAATTGAAAAGGAATGAAATAAGGTTGATAGTTACAAGTCAAGAGGGAAGATCAAATATTGAGGATAAAATGGCATGTCATTTTAATTTTTAAAATCAGAATTGTTGAAGCTCACACAAAATAAAATCTGTGTTAAATTTGAATTGAATGTTTCGAAATTTGAAGGTCTATGGTGGAATCTAATATGAACATGTGACTCTAGAATAACGGTTAAGGACAAGGTTAGACATATGAGTCTAGTTTCAAACCTTAGAGGTTTAAATGATTGAAAAGTTGGTGGATTTTGGACCTTCGATTTTAGGTCAACAAGGTAGAATAGATAGATAAGATAATCTGCAATTCGTTGAAAAATAAACGGTGATGGAATAACTTCATATTCCTTTTTACACGAAAATTATACAATTGAAATTTAAGAAAAATAAATTAAAAAAAGTAAAGTAAAAATGTACGTAATACTCATCATGATGTGGGTTTGGAGTTATTAGAAAGAAGATAGCTATATACATAGCGTGGTGATAATGATTACCTTATCCTTAGTAATAGTCGGTGGGTGCACTTAATATGTCAACAAACATAGTAAATGAGATCACTGAAATATAAAAACCGTATCATCAATATGATTACATAATCTTTAAACCAAAATATAAACTCAGAGTGTACATAATTCGACAGCGCCGGCCATTTTAGAGAAAGATTCTGTAATACTATTATATTTATGGGCTAAATGAGTTCTAACTAGAAAGTTTAGTGGTCAAATAGTTGTTAACTAATTTATTAACACTTTCCCATAAGAAAAAGCAAAAAAATAGATATTACAAAACGTATAATTCAAAAAAAAAATTGTTTTTGTTAGAACCTGGAATAGTATTTGTTTTGTTGTTTTAACATGCAGCAGACCTGAGCGTAGGAAATCATGTTCTTACAATAGCTTTTAGGGGAATTTCCCGGAAGGTGCTTCCAACAACTTTTGCCATTATAATTTACGGTGGAATTAATTTTTTCTTAACTTATGATGCAAAATCAGGGCGTACAAATGTTGAATTCTGCCAGTGGAAATTTTTATTTTCACTTGCATGCTATTAAATTATATCTACCAACAAAAAATGATAACGAGATCCAATGCGAAAAAGAAAAAGAAAAACATCTACTATTATTGTACAAAAATGCTATTCAAAGACGTAAAATGTTTCTCAAAATTCTGTAAAGTACACAAGATAAACACATAAAATCCAAAAGGTCTAATTAAACGACAACACTAACATTTTAATTAATTCTAAAATTACGAAGTGCAGAAATTGAAATTGAAGACAATCAAACTACACCGTTTTAGGTTGAATATTTTCGGCGGTGTTTCAAATGTAAATAAAAAAAAATTATTTTATGTATGTTGAAATTAACTTAAAAAGATATCCACTTAGATGTAGGGGAAAGGAGCACAATGCAGATGGTTTAAGTTTTCCGACATTGAGCAAAATTTTCAACTCACATCAGCAAGGAAAAAAACAGTTTGAAAAGGTGACATTCACTCACATAAATAGTAGAGACTCTTCTAAAATGAGCATTCACTTTGAACTTCTTAACTCACTTCAGAGAGTAAACTAAGTGATATTCATTATTAATGAATAAATTTATAATTGATACTATATGCACATTTATAATTGATATTTGATACTGTAATATCATTGCTCCATTAAAGGATATTTCATGTTATCCAAAGAAGAAAATGAACCAAATTACCTCAATAGAAAAGGGTTTAAGAACCACTATATTTGTCTATAAAAGAAGAGGGAGTTGCATCACACCCTGCAGCATAGGTTGCTAACCACTATATTTGTCTATAAAAGAAGAGGGAGTTGCATCACACCCTGCAGCATAGGTTGCTATCTAGTCTAAGAATGTCCAATCTACAATCAAGAAAGAATTCGACGGAAAAACCTCAACTCTAGTAATAACTTGTTTTTGAAGTTACTATAACAATTACTCTAATAGTCCCATGGGGAAAACGTGTAGTTTAATGGGAGAGTGCAATTTATATTACATATTTCAATGGGGAAGGATCAATTTCTCAAAATCAGACAACAATAATGTCAATTTCATAATGCCTTTAAACATTCCCAAAAAGTATGCGAGTATCTAACTATCTATTGTCACCGGCAGAGCTCATAACCAACGATCCCATCCTTCAACTCAGAGAATCAACTTCCTGTCCTGTCGCACAATCATATGAGAGTGGAAAATCACCTGAAGCAAAAAGTATGATGGTTGAAGTAACAGACTTCTGTTTCCTATACATCCTTTGTATATCACTCAAATTGTCAGTGACAAGTTGTCATACTGCTGCACAAATTGACCCTGAAAGATGGGAAGAAAACATATATACAATATCAATTTAATTGATTTCATCTGAACAGTGAAAATGGCCAAAATTCATCGCCATTTGTTTAATAGTTATCCCGTTAGCCTTAATTTAATAAACTTTAAGTCTTTGAAAACAATTTGATCTAAAAAGTCTAACTGCAAATTTATAGTAGTAGTGCTATCTCAATAAAAACAAGGGCATGCCTAATTTTGTTTTCCTGTTACAATTTGCTATAAGACGTGTCGATTTTGAGCAAAGGTTTTCATTTTCAATTTAAAATTTTTATTAAAAAGTTAAATATGCAATTTTATTTTTATTACTTGTATTAAAAATAACTTTTTCCTATGTCTATAAAAACTTTTTAAAACAAAAAAATTAATTAAAAACAAAATGACACTTCTATGATTAATGAAAATACAAAACAAAATAGAAAATATTTTCTCATATAAGGATGACACTTCTATAATTAATTGTCTCTTTTGCTGCCATAAAAATATCAAATGTTGTAAAAAAATTTATATTGAACGGATAAGGAATTAACACCTAACCATATAAATTCCAATCATGTGTACGTGATTGTGAGAGGATAGAAAAAAAGAGACCTGTGGACCAGGATGAGCAGCAAAACTTATTTTCGTCAAGGTGCATCACGTCCAGCCCGATAAACCATGATCCGGTGCTTACATCATCGTGTGCATATGTACGGAGAATAAATCTTCCGAGAAAACATATAATTTGCAACCATTTTGAACACTCAGAATTCTGAAAACAAATAGAAAAACCACAGAAAAAATAATGGAATACCGTACCTGTTTATTGAAATAAACTGAGCCAATGCTTTTGAAATGGCATAGACCTCACCCGAAGCATGTTGAAAGTACCTATAGATATCAGATAAACACTAATATATGAATGTTACCATGGAAAAGCTAGATAGAGAGAAGCAAAATCATGTATATAGCAGTATGGCACCGTGATTTGGATAGTAATTTTAGAGTGTACAAAAAAGATAAGCAAAAAGTGGACCAATATTTAGGAAAACTGTTAGAAAGACTATTTAACTAATGTATATGTCATCGTGTGTTCATAGTTTTGAAAACTATTAACACATGATACAATAGTCTCAGTGGACATTGTCATTCCTTCACATTAATCCAGAAAAAATCCAATTTATTACATTATCATCAAAATTCTATTGCTGCTTAAGTTCATCAAGAAACATCTTTTGATAAGGTATTATACTGAAACTATCAGTAGATTGAGTAATTTTTCTGAAGATGAATTTTAAAATGATGGGGTCATATAAACTGGTGGTTAATAAAAACTAATTTGGAAATTCTTAAACCAAGAAATAGCGTCAGTAGTATCCTAGAAAATGACAGTCTCACTCTTGGCTTTAATATCAACAATCCATCACAAATAAAATCCTGCTAACTAGTGTTGATAATTTTTTTTAAAAACTACATTTTCCAATAAAGACTTATTTTCAAAAACTTAACAAGTGCTCTTTGTTAGCAGTTGTCGGGAGGAGGGAAAAATGGTCTTGTTAGTTAGTGTCTTTAAGGCACTTGATGGTTAAGGAATAAAATATTGGAAAGTTTTTCTTAAAAATCCAGGTCTCCAAAAGCTACAGTTCCATAAAAAAAATTCTAATTTTGATTCCTTTAACCAATGTTCTTGGTATTTGCCAGAAAAATAAAGAACAATTGAGTAGTAATTACTCACGATTTTCCATCGCCAAATTTCCACCAGTCTGGCTCGTACCATTTATGTGTCCTATAAGAATTAGACAAAATGAGAAAAGGGAGAAATTAATATCAAAATAAACTATTTTCATAAGTCAATGAAACATTGAAGAGTTTTGACAAGACTCACGGTTCTGAGAAAACTTCACCCGATTTCATACAACCAATATATACACGGGGTTTATCCAAATGAGAAGTTAGCACTCCTCCAAAGGCATCTGTAGAATAAATTAAGCCATACAATCAGAGTAACAGGAAAAATCCATCTGATTCCAGTATGACATCAGCAAACAATAGCAATATTTAGAAACAGTCCAAGTAAAGCCTATGTCATAACTCTTTGCAAACTAAAGTGCTTATAAATTATCCTTCCTAAAAATGATATCGACCTAGTCAGATCACAAGCGGGCAAGCATATTTCATTTTCCAGTTTTGCTAAACACCTGATAGAAATTAGAAGATATTCTGGGTCAACAATCATACAAATAACGTGTCTATAACATTGACAGTGGAGTTTTCATAGTCAGCTTGTTGGCCAGGTGGGCAAGCCTCCTGCTTGGGTAAGGACCAAGGTTATTGAATGTAATTGAGATCGGTATGGAGTTTGGAATGGTAAAATTAGACTGAAATTTTTTTACTTAGAAAGGTTTGCACTCTGGCTTTAATCTATAGCTTTAAGCTTGACAAGAGCTTGATCTAATAAATGACATAACGGCCGAAATCACATTTTGATTTGGTTGTTGTTGCTTAGATGATAAACTTAAGTTAACAAATTCAATCCAGTTGCAACTATAGAACAGGAGATCTCTGCATCCTCCTTGACATGGGAAATCTCCCTATTTTGAAGCAGTAATATTGCTGATTGAAATACTTCATCAATCAAACCAAGGTTGTCAAAATCAGAATCTTGCATAAGATCGGGAGGAGATGATAAGATCGTAAAATATAAGATCGCAACTAAGATCAGAAAATCCTACTCAATTAATTTTGTAAGATCGAGAGGGGGTAGCATGATCGCAAAACATAAGATCGTAACAAAAATCGTAAGATACTACTTAAACAGAAAATAATGCCACATGTTTTTAGTATTTTTACATGATATTTTCATAGGCAAGTGTATCCGTGGGAAAGGACTTGTATATGAACCCTGCCACAGATAATTTTCTTGACCGTTAATACAACTGGCTTTGATCAAATGCCTTCTGAATTTTCACAATTTTCTAGGAATTCAATAAATTTATCTAATTTTAGGGGAGGGGCATATCAAAAAACTCTAACTACTCCGTGAATTATCCGTACCGATAATTTCCCTGGTTTATTTTTAACTAACGGTACGTTCTGCATTCCCTGAAATTATTTGCAAACTGAGGAATGTAGTATATGATTTCTTCTAATTCCTAAACTCTTGCATGCAGAAACAAACCTTATGTTCATATCTAACTTGAGATGCTTTATAATGAATTAAGGACAACATACCAAGACTAACATAGACATCATCATTGACCTTAGCATAAAATTCAGCATCCCAGTTGTCCACAGCATAAATGAAGAACGACTTTGTCTTTTTTGAACTCTCTTCAACTGCCTCCACTTGATCGTCCTGTGAAGAAAATATTAAAGCTAATAATGCTAGGGCGTTAAATTGTGTTAGAACTCAAAAGAACTAAGAAAAAACTTAATTATATTATAACCAAATTGATGGAAATCAGGGATAAATAAACTCCAATGTACAAACAGTGGGAGCAACTTAACGGATTATGGATGATGTAAACTCCTTACAATTACAGAAATGAAGAAAAATAGAAAATATAGAGACCTACTGCTACTCCTTTCCTGAGGAAGAAACCTTTCTTCACTCTGTCTTGCCTACCCACTTCCTTCAAAAGCAAGACACCCTCATTCAGTTACTGTCTACTAGACTACCACTACTCCCCATATATCCCTCTTGTCCTCATTCTGCATGATCTTAGCCTCCCCTCTCCACTCACAATGATGCCTTCTCACGGTTATTTCCCACTCCACACTTTCTCCTCCTTCTTACCCTCATTTCATGTTTCCTTCTCTCATAGGCTAGTAGGGTTTTCTGTTTGGGTCTACCCCCTGCCCGACCTATTCCTTGAGTTCCTTCCTTCCCTTGCCTCCTATTTACTTGTGTGATGGATCTACCAGTTTCTTGCATATACATTAAATTATGTGTATAAAATTCCATGTCACGCATCCAAATATCAACCAGTCCAGAAACAAGGGATAAGAATAACTGTTAGCTAAATAACGTCAAATACACAAATCAAACAACAATATCATATCTTGGATTGGATTATATCTAATGATAGACAATGTAAATCCAAAAGTCAATGGCTTAACTTACAATTTTCCAGGTTTTCCCTTCACCTCTAACTATTGGGCTGTTCTATATCTAGTCTACCTTCCTTTCCTTACCGTTGCTTCTACAGGCCTTCACTGAAAAACAGAAGTTTGAAATCCATACTTCTGCCACACCAAGACTTTTTTACAATGAAAAGTATCTTTAATACATGATCCATGAGAGAATTTATTATATTTTACTACCTATCAAATCTTTTGTGCACGAAACTATTATTATAGAAGTCAACTTACAAGAATGACGAAGTCATTAGTCTGACTATTTTCTCTTTCAATCTCTTTGTCCAAACTGTCTCCACGGTTTGCACTGTATAGAAAGAATTGCCAATCAAATAAAAAAATTAAGAAACCATTCATTGATAAATTTTAATTTGAACCTCCAAAATTATACCTTCTTCCTATTACAAATCTCACAATGATGCCTTTCTGATCTGCGAGATTTTGTATGGATGCGCCTGCAGATAGGGCAGCAATGTGTTCAGATAAGACTTCTACAAAAGGACTAAAATCCAGAAGCTACATTTTATATTGTACAATTTCAAAGAACGACTAATTGTGTAAATTATTTGAACATATAACTAAATATGCTGGCATTTATAAACCAAAATAAGTTATAAAGCACAAAAATTTATAAACCAAAATAAGTTATAAAGCACAAAAATTTATAAACCAAATTAAAACTTTAAGATACAGAAATGAGTAACAAAAGTTGTTAAAGAATAGTGTATTGCTTGAAACTGGGAAGTGAGTTAGACCTAAGTGTTAATTACCGAGTTCTGACTTTCCAGAGGATGCATCCTTAAACCAGTTTAAACTTATTAGACATTTTTCATTCAGGTACAAAATTGGAAATGATAAAACTTATTAGACATTTTTCATTCAGGTACAAAATTGGAAATGATAAAACAGAAAAAAACCTGACAATCAGACAGTCATGATTATTCAATAGTAGTTACTAGCTAATAATTTCAGTAATCTGAAACCAAACTATAAAACCTAAGCCTACCCTAAAATTTTATGCACATAACATGGCTTCCAATGAATTAAACTGAGAGTCATAAAATGCAGCGGTCCGGCTAAATGAAATCAAACCAATGAAAAATGTACCTGTCGGCATCCATGCCTTGCGGATTGCATCTCTGTTCTTTTTTCGACCAAAGGTTGTCATTACTCCAATAACTGAAAGTATCTTTTTTGTAGGTTGCTTCTCATTGTTTGCTGACAATTGCTTTGAAACAAAACCTTCAGTTCTAGCTGCAGCTAATTCCATCTCTAGGGAAGACAACTTCTTTTGTTGTTCCCTAAAATTAAGGTTATATTAACAATAGCTTCGTGTAAATGTCAAACAGCAGCAGCCAAAATTGAACTTAGCAACCAAAATTAAATTGACAATACCAAAACCTATAGAAAAATTACCTGCAGGCTATGATTTTCAATGTATCATCAACAGATACGGCAGAATGACCCTGAAATCGGATGAACTATACTGCCTCATTGACATCCTATGACGATAACTTAAAATTAAAAAGAAATAAAATCACAAGCAACTGCACTCAAGAATACAAAAATTTACTAAACATGATACACAGTTACCAAAAACCAAAGTACACCGTATTCAATATCAAAATTTTGATGTCAAAAATCCAATTCTAAAAAAAAAAAAATAACCATTGTCAATGTCAAAACACATACATATTTGCTATGCAATGTATCAATACAACCTATGAAGCCGCAACACATACAAGAACAATGGATACAACACAATATTGATACCGATAGAAGTATTTGAATGTAACTATATATAACAGTGTCACAATGAACATCAACAATTGTCGAACACCATAAACGCTTTCAACATGAAGTGTTAATGCTAATAGATTACAACTTATATAGGACCAACACCTCTGGAAAAAATCTGTGTCCCAAACCAACACTTATGGTTTCGTTTAATTTATTCTTTTCAAATTATTATCTGTGTCAGAGTGTTAGTGTCAGGGTCGTGTTAGTGTTAGTGTTAGTGTCACTGTCGTATTCCGGTGTATGTGGTTCATAGCTTACGACTGCTCCAATGAAGAAAACTAACATTATACCTGACCGGTTTTTTTCTCAAGCTGTTCGATTAAATACACCCTACTCTCCGCATCCTGCCATAGCCTGCAAATGCCATAACACAAGATAAAGTTAACGAAAAGCCGAAACTGAAATTGACGATGATGGAAAACGAAGAGAACTGACCGGCCGGCAACATAGATAGTGGCCATGGTAGCAATCATGGTAAAGATGAGAGCGGAAACACGAGATCCAAAAGAGTTACCAGATAGCCGGTTTTGCGATCCCCGGCTACGCATTTCTTCTCCGATGAATAATGTGTCAGAACCGATTCAAATTGATTTTCAGATCCGGTGAGATACAGAGTTGTATGGGGCCGTGGATTATAGTTTGGAGTTAGAGGTACGAAGAGTACGTCATAACCGTTTTTAATCAAGGTTCATGTAATCTACTTTTTCGGTTTCAATTTCAAGTTTCAACTAGTTCTGAAAATTGAGATAAAGAGTAACATACATGAATAACGAGGGAAGGGAAGGGGAAATTAAAAAACAAGATTCATCAATAGAAAAGAAGGTACTAAGAAACTCAAAGTTTGATCTAATCTAATGGTAAAATACATTAGAATAATTAATGTACAGTAAAATTTTAAATAGTTAAATCATCCAAGATTGAATTTTAAACAAAAACATATTTAAACTATAAATTTAAAAATATTTTTAAGTTTAATGAAGATACTTAAAAATTTTAATATGACTTAACAGAATATATAATTGTCAACATAAAAATAATTTATCTATCTATAATCTATAATCTATAATCTATAGCATATATAAAGGCAATACTTGGTTTTTGGTGTAGCTTTTTTTATACCAAATTTACCCTTATTTTAAAATATATAACTTACACAATAACTTCTATTGAACTACTACTATCATCTTTCATATAACTCGCTACTACTAACTTTTCACATAATTTTCATGTAAAATTAATATTAAATAAAAATATATCATTTATATTTATATGTTTGCAATAAAAAAACGGACAGACGGGCACGCGAGTGTCCAGACCGTGCCCGTCTGGACGCTAGTAATATTAATAACAATACTGAGATCTACCAGTCTGGCTTACACAGATTTAGGTCAGAAGTCTGGTTTAAACAGATTTAGGTCCGGCCAAATTTATTTTTTTAAATAGAAAATACATAGACTTTTTTATAAGTCTATTTAATTAAAAAGGTTAGGCCTCAGGTCATAAATTTTTTTTTAAAATCTTAATAGGTCGGCCTATTTAAATAAATATGAATAATTTACGTTATATTTTATACTTTGAATTAAAATACATAAATAAAAATTATTTATTTTTGAGAATTTATGAAAATAAGATAAAACACCTTATGAACAATGTTATAAGTTATTTTCATAAATCATCTTAATCAAATAATCTTACAAAACTTATGCTAATAGATAAATTAAAATAAGTCAATATAAAAAAAAAACTTTTAGTCTCATTCATTTTTAGTTTGTTAGTCTATGTAAAATAAGATTTTTTTGACTCTTGTACCCCTTTTTGAACCCTTAAATCCCATAATGCCCTACATTGAAATTTTTTTTCCAAACTACCCTCTTTTTATGTGAGTTCGTCCTTGGAATGGACGAACATCTTCTAAAAAAATGCCCTGCAAGAGTTCGTCCATGCATTGGGCGAACTAGTGTTGTGATAGTTACCCTGCATGAGTTCGTCCATGCATTGGGCGAACTAGGGTTAGTTTTGTTTTTTTTTTTTATTCTAATTTTGTATATTTAATTAAAACTATTTAATTAATACTTTTTAATATAAAAACTATTTAATTAATAAGCCTATTTAATTAATTCTATATAAATACTATTTAATTAATTTTATATAAAAACTATTTAATTAATTTTTTCTAAAAACTATTTAATTAATTTTTTAACTATTTAATATAAAAATTATTTAATTAATTTAAAACTATTTAATATTAAAATTATGTAATTAATTTTAGATAAAAATTATTTAATTTAATATAAAAACTATTTAATTAATTTTATATAATAACTATTTAATTAATTTTATATAAAAACTATTTATTTAATTTAATATAAAAACTATTTTTACAGACTCTCGGTCACCGAAAGACCGAACTCAAACGTAATTTTTTTGTATAAATAAGCGTATTGCGCATCAGAAAATATCATTCGTGTCAACTTATCCGATTTATAAAGATGTCTGTGCAAACTCATGTTTTTTATGGACCTGAGAAAAAAATCAGTGTTTACCTAGATCCGCTGTGTGTTGGTGCAAAGGTAGAATAAATGATGAAAGGTAGAAATATTCTATTAAGAATGACGGCTACAAAACATGATATTTGGTTACAATGATTGTCACCCTATTTATAAGCTAAAACTAGGGTTACTAGAATAAGATAAATACTAAAATACCCTCTAACAAACTTATGGGCTTAAGAAAGTAATATAATAAAATATGAATTATTACTAATACCATCCCTTAATTCATATTCCATCAAAACTTGTAACACCAATTTCATCCCTTAATCTGAGAAATTGATCAGTCTTGATAGCTTTCGTCAGAACATCTGCCAACTGCTTCTGAGTGCTGCAGTGTACAACTTCTAACACTCCACTCTGAACTTGATGTCTCAGAAAATGATACTTGGTCTCAATATGCTTGCTTCTCCCATGCAGCACTGGGTTTCTGGCAAGGTTGATTACAGACTTGTTGTCAATCATCAACTTCAGAGGTTTGCTTACTTTAATCTTCAGATCCTGCAACAGATTCAGAATCCACACAGCTTGGCATGCAGTAACAGCACCTGCAATGTATTCAGCTTCACAGGTTGATAACGCCACAACAGGTTGCTTCTTGGAACACCAAGAAATAGGACCTCCCAGAAATTTGAACAAGTACCCAGAGGTACTTTTTCTGTCAACTCTGTCTCCACACCAATCAGAGTCTGAATAACTCAGAAGTTCTGATTCATCCTTTCTTCCAGAGGGAAATAACACTCCATACTTCAGAGTTCCCTTGATATACCTCAGAATCCTGACAGCAGCTTGATAATGGGACCACTTAGGTTTACTCATGAACCTACTAACAATCCCAACAGAATAGCAAATATCAGGTCTGGTATTGCACAGATACCTCAGAGAACCAACCAACTGTTTGAAGGTTGTAGCATCCACATCTTCTCCATCAGAGTCAGAATCCAGTTTCTGATTTGTATCTGAAGGTGTGACAGCAGTCTTACAATTCTTCAGTTCAAACCTCTTCAGAAGTTCTAATTCATACTTGAGTTGATGCAAAATGATACCTTTCTCAGAATATCTGAACTCCATCCCTAGAAAGTATGTCATTTTGCCTAGATCAGTCATTTCAAATTCATTCATCAGAACTTTCTTGAACTTGGCTATCTCTTGTTCAGAACTTCCAGTCAATAGTATATCATCAACATATAAACATACCAGAGTCATATTGCCTTCAGAAGTATGCTGAACATAGACACCGTACTCCATCTCACATTTCTGAAAGCCTTGCTTCTTGAAAAATGAATCAATCCTCTGATTCCAAGCTCTGGGCGCTTGTTTCAGTCCATATAGAGCTTTGTATAATTTGTACACCATCCCTTCCTGATTCTTTTTCACAAATCCAGAGGGTTGTGACACATAAACTTCTTCTTCTAATGGACCATTCAGAAATGCAGATTTTACATCTAAATGCATCAGAGGCCAATTCCTGTTAGCAGCTATTGCAATCACCATTCTGATTGTTTCATGTCTTGCTATAGGTGCAAACACTTCAGAATAATCCAGCCCAGGTTTCTGTAGAAATCCTCTGGCTACCAACCTTGCTTTATGTTTGCCAATTGAACCATCTGGCTTTAACTTCTGCTTGAAAACCCATCTGACGCTGATGGCTTTCTTGTCTTTTGGAAGTTCTGTCAGCTTCCAAGTCTTGTTTCTCTCTATAGCATCAAGTTCTTCTTTCATGGCCTTTAGCCAAAGATTCTGCTTAAGAGCCTCTTCTGTACTTATGGGTTCAGAATCTACCATCATGGCACACTGAATAATTTCTCCTTCAGAGTCTACTTCAGTGTCTTGCAGCATGTCAAATTCTGCATATCTTCTGGGAACGTTTCTTATTCTTTGTGGTCTCTGAACTTGTTCAGAGTCTTGAGCTTCAGAGTTTCTAGCTTCAGATGATTGACCTCCAGAGCTTTGACCATCATCAGAGTCTGGCATATTTCCAGAGTCTGAATTGCCACCAAGATCTGGATTGCCATCAGAGTCTGGGTCATCTGGGTCACCTTCATCTTCTGAGTCTTCTTCAGAGTTTGAATCAGTATCAGAGTCAGAGTCAATATCAGGGTTTACTTCAACTTCAGAAATTCTTAACTCTGGCCTTTCTTCAGAGGTTCTAACATCAGAATCAGATTGAGACTTATCCCAATTCCAAACTTCTGATTCCTTCACAATCACATCTCTGTTGAATTCAATTTTATTGGTTTCTGGACAATAGAGCTTGTAAGCACCAGTCCTGTGGTACCCTATCAGAATCATCACTTTGCTTCTATCATCCAGCTTCTGTCTTCTGGCTTCTGGAACATGTTTATAGCAAACAGAACCAAACACCTTTAGATGACTAACACTTTGCTTATCTCCAGTCCACTTCTGTATTGGAACTATTTCCTTCAACTTCTTCGTAGGACATCTGTTGAGTACATGCGTTGCAGTGGCAACAGCTTCTCCCCAGAGCTTCTGAGGAAGCTTCTTCTCCTTTAGCATGCTTCTCACCATATCAAGCAGAGTGCGGTTTCTTCTTTCAGCAAGACCATTGTGTTGAGGGGTATAGGGAGCAGTAACCTCATGCTCAATTCCATTCTCCTCACAGAACTTCTGGAACTCTTTGGAGTTATACTCACCTCCACCATCAGTTCTAAGAATCTTCAACTTCTGACCACTCTGATTCTCAGCCTTCATTCTGAACTTCTTGAATTCATCAAACACCTCGTGTTTGAACTTAATAAGGGATACCCATGTCATTCTTGTGAATTCATCAACAAACATCACAAAGTATTTATTCCCTCCAATTGATGCTACTGGAAATGGACCACACACATCAGAGTGTACAACTCCCAAGGCATGTTTTGCTCTTGGAGCAACTTCTGATGCAAATGGCAATCTTGGTTGTTTTCCTTCCATGCAAACTTTGCATGACTTTTCAGGCTTCTTAATTGCAGGAATTCCATGTACCAATTTCTTTGAAT